TCTAAACGATTTTAATTAAATGCTTTTATTATGCTTAGGACTACATTAGCAAAATGCCGAATGAAAATGAGAAATATTATATTATATAAGGAACAATTAATATTATTTAAATGCATCTTTTTGGCCATATGATACCTAATGAAGCGTATTACTTGAATTAAGTCAATGGCCTTATATAAAGCATAATAAAAAGAACAATTGTGTGATTATATTTATATAACGATGACGATTAATGACGACACCATACCTGTTACGTGTCGTAATCGTTCAGAAAAATAGAACTTTATATTTATTGTCATGATATTCTGTAGTCAAAACTCTCGGCGAAATGCCGATTATACTCACAAACAACAAAAATATCTGTAAGTCTAAATAGGTTTGACCGAAACACATTATATTGTACTAATTATATAATCACCATACACATTTATGTTAAATAATTCATAATTTATTGCAAGTTGAAAATATCAGTTTTCTTAATAGAAACCTAATTTATTTCGCGTTCGGTTTAATTAAAATTTATCTTACGCTTAATATTTTCAAACATCAACATCAATATATATACACAGTATGAAAAGGTATTTCCTAAACAAGAAAATAGATTTAAAATATCACCTTGTCTAAAGACTAATAGTAAAAAGGATTACAGTAAATGCACGAAAAATAGTTACATAGTCTTATGAGTTTTATAACAACAAGTATTCTAGACGAGCTAAACAATCCTTAGATCTGACGCAAAATAACCACTTCTCATGATGTCACCGACTCACAGAAAACCTACTTAGCAAAACAATTATTTACGCATTTGAGTCGATTCTGCACGTTTTTAGTTGTGACAATTATAAGCTTCTTTTTTTAGGGTGTAGGGTGCAAACAAGCAGACGAGTCACCTGTACCTCAATTCTGCTATTTTATGTTAACGCCAAGCCACTATCATTCTATTGACATGCTATTGAGATGCCATTGACATCGATCAAAATATCGGTATTCTACTAACATAAATTCACAGTGTCAATAGACTGTCGATATAGTAAGGTCATCAATGGTGATATTAACAACATTGCCGTACCTGGTAAATTAAAAAAAAAATCATTTTTTTACAAATTTAAAATGTACCGTTAGCGAAACTGTTATAAAGACATCGACGACATTTGTACCACTGTCTGACTGACTGTAAGTCATTGAGATGCCATTAGTTTTTAGAATAGGAAAAGTGCAAAACTATTCCGAGGACATTCCATCGACAGTCTATTGATGCAATACTAAAATAATAGAATTGAGGCGAAGATGGAAAAAGACTACCGCCGTTAATGGTCGGCCTTTTAGGTGGGATGATGATGGCCTTCTATGTTTTAAATAGTTTCTTATTAAAATAGCCTAAAGAGACATCCCTGGTTGCACTTACTCATATTAAGTTAAACACATTCTGGTAATATTTTTTAAGTAATACATACCAACCGTGACCATGATCAGTTCAATTCAAACAAAACTGATAAACAAGAAGGTTTAAAACCTTTTTCGAATATTCAAATACATAATCGTTTCGCGAAGTAGGAGTTTTGTGTTCGCTGTGCCATAATGAGAAAGACAGTTATTATGCGTATGATTAAAATATTTGTGTGCATATCGTACGTTCAAGTCTATATTACATCATCGATGAACAATACCGATAACTGCACACCAGTAAACCGTAAAATCATAGTAGCCGAATTCGCAGACATTTTTAATGAAATTATCAACCTTCTGTCATTGCTTTAAAGTTGATTTTACCCTGGTGGTTTATGTTACTATTTATTGTCAGTGAATTCGGCCCATAGACTAGCAATTGTATGTTGTTATCCAAACTGCAGTCATTATGCCGTCTACTGTCGATTGCAAAGATTTATCCCGTTCCCCAATTTCTTTTGTGATTGGTGCAGGATTACAATTTTTAAACATAAATAGTGCAAATGCACTTATATTTCATTTCATTATACTGATTTTAGATTTTAATTAAGAAATTATTGCAGTAATTCTTAAATTACGCACATGCACATGAAAGAATATCGTGCTGTAGGCATTTCTTACAAAAACATGCAATTGCCATTCTATTAGTAGTAACTAAGATGTTTTTCTGTCAAGCGGGAGAGGCACACCACGCGTTCGTTCCAAATCCGGAGCGCACGCATTCGAAATTTGAATCTGCATGCGTTGCATATATACGCATGCATTGCATACATACGCATGCATTGCATACATACGCATGCATTGCAAACACACGCATGTAGAATACGCTGTATGAATCGCGTGTAGAAATATCCACATACAAGACAAATGGTTTTTTCATTTTACACATAATCGCAGATAACATTCTATTACATGTAATATTAAACATTCCAACATTATATACACAGATTAACAGTATTACCTTACGATCTGATTAAAACGTAGTGTCTCTTATAAAATGTAACATTTCAAATTGAAAATATAGAATGTATTTTTATATTTGAAAATATAGCGTGCTTTCAAAGGATAAATTGTTTAGTGACTGGATCAAAGTGAAAAGAGAATGGGCGTAGCCTGAAATACAATAAGATGTCAATTATTTCGGGTTTGATAATTACTATTGTCATAAATTTTGCTTCCGAATATATCTGTTAGTGTTTAATTAAAATTCAAAATATTTGGATTTATACAAAAAAATTAAAATACTGCACCGTTAGATGGACGGCATGACGTAGTGGTTTAAGCGGTCGCCTCGCTGCTTCCTGCAGCGCTGAGTGTGGTTTCGATCCCCACATGGGACAACACTTTGTGAAATCCACAAATTGTTGTTCGGAGTCTTGGTATTGTGTACGTTTCGTGTATGTTTGTAAAATCCCCGGAGGATATATTCCTAGTGCGGGACTTGACTTTTTTTTACATTTCTTAGGAATGTGTAGATGCCATTTAACGTATGCAATCTTATATACAACACTATGTTTTATTATGTCTATAAACATATAATGTTTACTTGGATATAAATACACAAATATCCAGTCGAATTGAAAACTTTATCAATTTTAAAGTCGGTTTAATAAATGAAGTTTAACTTCTCACTTTTTATTTATATTATATATGATAAAGAATCTTTTTGTATCTCCAGCTACGCCCATGTTGTTCTCTTCGCGTATTATTCGTGTTACGTATAAGAACACAGCTAATTCGCTTAATACCAAGTAACAAGTAATTTAAAAAAGTTATAAGTATGTAAAAATGTTTTATAACAAACAATTTTATTTTCAAACATGATCATGTTTCAAAAAACATTCTTCAATGCGATGAATCTATAATACGGGTGTTCAGTATATAGAAGCTTTGTTTTTGTAAAATGTTTTCATGAAACATACTCATATACATATTTCAATGTATAAGTCAACAACAAGATTTTTATTTATATCCAAAACATCTAATATAACAATTTCTATAATTTTCCTATAGACCGCTAAAGTGTAGACATATTTCTACAGTTAAAATCCTAATATTTTTTCCTTACTTATAGACATCGAATCGACAAAAGTCCTGAAGTCTTGACATTGTTTAAACTATCGCTAGTGTAGGCATACTAACATTTCAAGTTACTAACCGCCCGTATGTGTTAAGTTAAATAAACAGAGCTAAAAAAATACAATAATAATAATAACGCCACTATTTGGTCATTAAACTCCTCAAGAATCGACCTTACAAATCGACTAAATGTCTATAAGTAACAGAACATGAATAAATTTATAGTTATCGCCCACCTCTTTGTTTTATGGATAATAATATACATTTCATTATACAACTAAAAACGGACCTTTACAATGGCCGCTTAAATAGTTCTCAGATCTCGCATAGTTCGAACTCTGACAGAGTATAGGATCAAATTAGTCTAAATGCATCTCACGTTAAGCTGCCATAGTAAATCGATTAAGAATACCGACTAGCATGTGTTAGTATCGATTGTTTATCGACTATTCGATATAATCGATTACACGTGTCATTGTGTTGCTAATATTAATATATTTCTCACTCGACCTTCCTATTAAATAAAATAAATAAATAGGAACGTTTGAGTGTAATAGTTGCCTAAGTGCTGCCTGTTATAAAAATACTGTTACAGTAAAATATATTTTCATAGTTTTACAATAGAGATCATTTTTAATCAATAAATAGAATGAAAGATGTTGTTTTAAGCTCTTTTAATGTGTTTTGTACTTTATAAATATTCAAAGTTATGCTCTTTAGAATGACAAATGGTAAAAGTAGTTCGTAAACACTACATACTTTGAATGAAGTGGCTATCAATGAATTATTAGTTTTTCTTTTTATGATTAATAAATGTGGACTAGAGATGCATTGATTAGAATAATACATTCCGACCGCTAAATTGTGTGAAACATTAGATTGAGTAATTTGTAAAGTAGTAGTAGAGACTGACGGATATAAAATATATATGTATTATTTATTACGGTATCTGAATGTTATTAAAATTAATATTAGTTGTTAATAGGCATCACTAAACTCTCATAACTAAATCATGTACATATAACGAAGAATGATTGACCATATTTGTAATCTTGTCTGTTATGTTTCAAATGTTAGTTACGCCTGTGTGGTTTTATAAGAATTGAAGACATTGTCACAATGTGATAATGTTTTCAATTACGGCGGCCTTAAGAGGGACTTAACTCCCTTGAAATTTCTTAAATTGTACGTGGTGTTAATTACTTTGGAATTTTGTTGCATATTTACAGTTGAATATGATCGAATATACCGTACTCCAGCAGTTGGCACATATTACAGATGGGTTTCTCCTTATGCAAGTATATAAATCAGGTTAAATACGATAAAACAGAATATTTGACTAAAGTGAGTTGCGTTGAGTGCAACACACGTTACGAAGAACACAATCTAAAGCGCAGGTTCGCAAAAAGGAGTGGAAGGTCTTATGAGAGTCGGCAGTCTCAGGAGCGCGTGTGGGGGGCGGAGTGGCGCTGCTGTCAGAAGAAGATCACCTCCTCCTCCGGGGGTGGCGCGGGGGTTGAGGGGGCCGGCGTGACACCCGCCACCCCCACGACCCCAGTCTCCGGGGAGCGCACGCGGAACTTGTCGGGTAGCTTGGGGTACGTGTTTGTTCTGGGGATAATAAATCGTCGCTATTGTATTATTTGTGCGATAGTTTTGCTTAAAAGTGTGCCATACTGCATCTGGCGTTTAAGATAAATGACCATTTTTAGTGAATACAATGTATTATTACCTTTAACGGCAATACGTTGGTACGGGAATTTTCACTCAGAATTCATCACAAGAAAGTTTGGACGTCTATTATATAATTTTTTAATTCTTGCTGCCTGACATGTCAACCAGGTTACACTGAATTTATACTTCCTGGATCAATAAATTGAAAAGTTATTTTAGAAAATTGATAGTTAAATACCTAGTAGCTTTGTTGTTTGTCTGTTGTTGTGAAGGCAGGGGGGCGGGCGAGCTCCCTGTTCGTGTGTGATGTATCACTAAGCCATGCGTTTGATGCTGGAATTCACAAAAACAAAAATAATGAAATATTATCTTACGTCGCAGTTACGTAGTACTTATATCTTAATTTACCTATTTATAAACACGTTATTTTAATTATGTAATATCTATTAAGAAAAGTTATGTCTCAATTTATTAAAAAAAAAACAAACCAATACAGATAAAATAATTTTTCGTGTTTTTGCTCTTAACTTTTTAAAACCCGTTGAAATGCGTGTTTCGGAAATACGTTGGTCGGAAAGACCACAAACATTAGGATGTAGGTGTACTCTACACCAGAGTTAGGTTATCATTTCTCTTAAATGCCCAACTAATCCCCATCCCTCTTTATTTTCAAACTATTGTAGTAGTACTCACTAAATTCAATACTCACACCATACAAATATTCTTCCGTAAAAAATGAAAATTCACATTTGATTAATATCATAATTTTTTTTTGAGTGATAGGTTTTATAGACCAGTTCCACTTGTATGAACACTAAAAGTTTACTGAAAATTTTTGAAATCAAAATGCATATACCCAATGTGTGTGCACGGTTATTTATAATTTATAATATATTATATCTTACACATCTTACACACATCCCAAACTAGGCCGATCCTGTACTATGGTAACCAGACCGCTGATAAACATACTTATATATTTTGAAATAGATACATATTATAGATAACTTACACCCAGACACAGAACAAATGACCGTGCTCATCACACAATATTTGTCCTGGGTGGGAATCGGGAACCTCAGGTTTAGCAGTCAGTGTCACTAACCACTACACCAACGGGCCCTTCATTTTCTTATTATACGCTCAAATCATGATTGATTGTCAACTAATATGTTTTAGTTTACTTTACAGGAAAACTGTAATATCCTCGACTTAAGAAAAGCTCATTAAATACAATGATTGTTCACTATGAACTTGTTTTTTATGGAAACTTATTCTCATAAGAAAGTCATCATATATAGAATATGTCGCGTATGCGTACGATGTAGATACGTACCAATAGTACTTCGTATTACGCATGTTTACACAAATATTTGCTGAATATGACCAAAATAATAATATACGTTGTAGTTGTGAAATCCCTTATATACTCTTGAATAAATATAACTAACATGTTCATAATCGCTTCTATGTATTTATTAGCGATCAGTTTTGGTCACATAAAGCAAATGTTTGGTCAAACATTTTAAAAGAACTTCCTATAGAATAATTAAGCATGCTAATCTAACATCAAAAGCCGCACAGACGAAATGGTTGTACACATTAAACACTGATAAAAGACGAAGCCAATTCTACCGAAGCCGATAGTAATACATGTGTACTGTTTATTTGAGTAATTTTTGTACACGGCAACACTTAAGCGATAGGAGCTAAATTTAGAGGAAGTGGTGCATATACCGGCATTTAAAATATGTGTACAGAGTAGAAAAAAGCATATTCCTGGAGGTGTTTACTTATTGTGTAAATATTACCATATATTCCGCTGCATTATTGTATTATACAGTATTATAATCCTCTACTGATTATAAAAAAAACTCATCTTATGCTTAGTTTGGTCACGTAGTACGGAGAAATATGAATGGTCGTTTGATTATAGAACAGCAACAAAATCATACTCAACGCACAGGCAATACACATTTAAATGAGAATTAAATGCCGTTTAATAAATAACATACTAATAGAGGGTGGGTCAAAGAGTTTAACATAGCAGCACTGAGTTACTTGGGAGGGGCGCGCAGTTATCAAGAAACTATGCGGCGGTTTAGACAATTTAAGTAACAACGAACGGCTTTACGAGATAACGACAGTTGGTTTCAACAAACACTAATGACTATGTGCGTCCTGGTGATGTTCAAATGTTAATTTAATATAAGCTGGGGTCAAGAAATACTAGATGACTGGTTCCACAATGAATACTAAACAAATATACCGGCTACATTCTAGAATTACATTCTAGCGACGAGATAATTTTAGGGAGATTGTAAAACGATTCATCAAAACGTAAGTGTTAGCATCTTCATCATATACTTGTAAGGGTAGGGAAATCCCTAGCCTTAAGAATTTTTAACTTACGGACACTGCCCACTTGTATCGTTGTCTTGTTCATTATCAACAGCCTCTAATAGTCCACTACTGGACAGAGAATATATGATTTTGAAAGACAACTAATTTCTCGTAGAGACGATTTTCGATTACCCCAATGACTTCTGTTCTTCTACCTCCAATAATATCACAATTGTAATGTGGATTGTGATGTTAAGAAATTGTGATTCACGGCTTCAAACTCATTTAATAAGAGCATCGTACAAGCTTGTATAACTAGAATTGTAGGAAAAGAATATCTACAGAATATTACGGTCTAATTTCCACATATATGTGTTGCTGTGTACACAATACGATACAACAATAGTGAATAATTATCTACTTGCTATATAGTTACTTACAGTATTAAAAACTGTCGTTAAAATACGTTCGGATACTCGAGGTCCTGTAAATACCAACCATTTGGTCTGTATCGATGTGTTTTAACTAAGATTATGATAAACAGGATTTTTAATTGAGAGTCCTATTACTGACTGCTGTGATCAGAATGTATAAAGACCTCGGTACAAAACGAGAAGTCTTATACGTTTAAAGGGTTTTATTATTGCTGTGGTTAATACATAACAGTACTTAACAAAAAAGATAATTAAGGGCAAACTGCGTCGCCTGACACTTATAAGATTAGTGAGTTGAAATATCTCACAAATACTAGTTATCCCTAATAAAGTGCTAGTGGACATCGATGTTTAACAAAATTATTTCTTTATAATCAAAATCGATCCTTAATCTAACTCAATAATAGACAACACAATATAAATCATACATACATACTCTGATACCTATAGATACCTCCCTGATACCCTCTCTGATACCTCCCTAAGGAGATATTGCTGTTTTAATTTAATAATAATTTTAAATATTTCGACCAACTGACTCACAACGCCATCTAGTTTCAAACTAAGCAGAGCTTATACAATGAAATCTAGATTCACTGATAGAATAATAATTTTCGAATTTAATCATTTCTAGATGTAAAATTCTGACGGAATGACGGGGGTGTTGGTCAAAAACCACGAAATTCGTGTGACGTAATTATTGGAAGGCCCCTAAGAGGTATAAAAGGTGTATTAAACAACAACAATTTGCCAACTATTACTTTTCCCACTTATCAATAAACATAAGTTTAACTGTTAGCTCTTGTAACTGACCTATTTTTTATTATATGTATTTATGTTGGCTTATTACAGTAATAGGAACAAAAGTCCGTCTGTAACAATTTAGTAAATAAAAAATAATAGTTACGAGTTTACTGATAGCTTTTCGTTTGAGAAATAAATGAACTTGATAATACTAACCTCACTTGGTGATTCGTGTAGTCGGTGGTATCCTGGCGGTGGTTGTTGACTTTTGCCACTGGCTAATTTAAGAGGTAGCTGCTGTTTAACCATTTGCTGGAATATGAAAATAGTAAATGATTATGTTTTAAAGAAAGAAAGTTTTAATATGTATGGAGGTTTACTGACTATGTTTTAAATCGAAGTGTGAATTGAAAATTCAAAGACAGAGCGAAGAATAGACAGAGCGAGTCACACATAAATATGATATAGTAAAAATATTTACAGTGTTACGTACAGTGATTTTAAGACAATATGTGATCTGCTAGCATTTTTAGAGTAAACTTATTTGTTGTTGTAACTGCTCGCAGCGATAGTTTTATAAAACCACCTAAAACAATCATCATATCATGCATAAAAATATTTGCACAGTGTGGGAATCAAAAATGCTATCCGGAACGTAGCATTGGAATGCAATACTTCTGCGCTACGGAGGTTGTCAAAATTGCGTTGTCTACAACAGGGTAGTTGACACCTTAGTCAAATTAGTTACTTTTTATCATCGGTCAAAACGACAATTTTGTATGAGGAAGGTATGTAGTATACATAAAAACTTATGACGTCACTATTTTAGACTATTAAAGAATATATTTTAATGTTCATTTGATTTAAATTCGTAATAGCTATAAAGCTAGAATAGTTTTTTTTTGTGATATTTGTTTTAACGTATATGTGTACGTATATGTGTATGTATGTCCCCTTACATAGTTATTTATTTACGATACAGTCAACTACCCTATTTTTTTTTTTAAACTGTTTTTGGTATTTATTAATACAATAGCCAGTTGTTGCAGTGTGGGTGTGTGGGTGTGTGGGTGCGCGAGATGTGCATACCGAGATGTTGGAGGCGTGCACGGTGGCGCGAGTCTCGTTCTGCGCGGAGAGCAGCTGCGGCGGCGGCAGCACGCCGCTGCGCACGCTGCACGCGCTCACCGACGACTCCGAGCCCGTCGAGCCGCGGTTATCTGACACGTAATACTACACATGTCATACCGGCTGATGTCACTCAAATATCAACCTTATCCGATTGAAATAAAGCTAAAAATGGTATAAACTATAGTGCATTCTGATTAACTAAATATTGATACATCGATCGAGGTTCCAAGAAATTATTGTTTCGTGCGAAAGCTTAGCTTGGCCAGGGTGCTTGATTGATGCGTCACTATTTTCTTAAAGCAAATGGAATCTAGTACAGTGGACGGCGAGGTCTAATTTTGCAGCATTTTGACGGCATTTTATTACTAAAACGAAGTGCGACCTTAAAATTTCTCTAGTTCCTCTAATCTTCAGTTCGCTTTACATTTTTCATGAACTGAACCAAATGATTAAAGAACAAATGGAACTTCCAATTATTATTAACCGACCCTGTTGATTGTCGTCTCTTATATTTTTAACTGTTGTATGTAATTCATACCTTATTTACGTTTCGACGATAACATATACCTTTATAACCCTTATAATGTTTACGAACATTTATTGAAGAACGAATAAACGGTACCTCAGCGCCGTATCACACGAATAAACATTAATTATATATATTAATAAAAACAAGATTGTTGACGATTGCAGCCAATCGCAAAGACAGTTGATGTGAAATAAACTCACACCACGCCCTCTCAAATTATATTGTAAAAAAGTGAGCATGAAGTGCGTGGGAGAACTATCTTTATCCAATGACATTCAAAAGTTAAAACTGTAAATTTCCGACTTCGACAGTGGACAATAGAGCGACAATATGCCTACAGTAGAAGGTTTTAAATTTCAAATCTACTTGTTCATCTACAATCACAATCTTCGAACAAAAAATAGAAAATCACTTACTTCGCCATTTTGGTTCTTTCCGCCGCGTAGTATCGCTAACACTGGAGTCGGGTGACAGAGTTCCCACACTTGCTATTTCTTCCTGCGAACCACCTACAATCAAAAATTGCCTCTAATATAATATACATATGTAAATTTTACAGATTAACCTAATTCAATTTCTAATACATACCATGCTGCTGCAGTCTTTCTAGCCGCCTGAATAATTTCTCTCTTTGCTGTTCTACGTCTTTCTGCTGTTCTGCTAACTCTTGTCTGGCCGCCTGTAATTGCTGTCTTTCTGTAAGTCATGGACGAGATAGTAAGAGTATATAGAGAATTATATAAAGTGATTGTTTGTTTTTGAGAAAAAAAAAAATATAAAAATTGTTTTTAAAAATAATAATTTTGTACCCTATAAAATTTATGGATATATTCGGTTGTAGATATATCGTACGATAAATTTTGTGTTCAAAATTATTAGTTCAGTAGGGACCTCGTAGCCTATTTTTTCTTTGTAAGTTCAAAACAGTGACATATAATGCATTATCAAAATAAAAGTGTGTATGTTTTGATGGCCAGGTTGTTGCATTGTCCTGGTAGGTTCTCCAGTTACAGGATGTCTCGAGCTATCGTAGACTTAGTTTCGTTTTGATAAGAGATTTGGGAGGCTTTCTAAACTTAGTTCCGTCTCTTTTTTTAATTCGAATTATCTTCTACCTTTATTTTGAAAACGATATATTTCCAGGGAGGTTTCGCATAAGACAGTGGGTCGGTTATAACAGAAATCAGCCAAAAGCCGGTGTCACGTTACACATTGAGGCGGCCCAAAAGACAGTAAACGATGACGATGTATCGAGATTTGAAGTAAGCAAATGTTAGCGGAGGCAGCAGCGCGTACGTACCGTGCGCGAGCTGCGCGTGGTCGGCGGCGCGCTGCGCGTCGAAGGCGGCGCGGTCGCGCGTGAGGCGCGCCTGCGCGTGGCGCAGCTCCTCCAGCTGCGCGTCCGACCAGTCGGGCGTGCGCGCGCACCCGCCCGCCATGCGCCACGCGCTCACCTGCGCCTCCAGGCTGCGCCGTAACAAACGCTTATATGTACACCACGCGCCTTCAAAAGGCTTCGCTCGACTCAATGTAAACGTTGTCGATTCAATCCAGGGAAGAATCAGTATCTCAATAACGGCATTTATATGATAAAAAATTTACCACACCAGTTTTTTTTTACATAATTATTCAAATAAATAACTTATATTAAGTATTGAGTAAGGATTGATACATTTTCATGTATATCAATATATCTTGGACAGATTCTATTATCGTTATAAAGTATACAGACGTCGCATGTCACACAAGACGCACGCGTATGGTACAAATATGTGAGCCGACGAGTTCATCTTTTATCTTATTATAATTATTAGCAACCACACTTTTACAATAAGCACCTTTTGATAATTATAAATATCGTGTTGGTTTTTTATTGATAAAATATTTAAACGATATATCGTACCGACACAGAAACATTGCCATGATTTTAGTACATCCTAGATGAACTTTTTCTTTTATTATAACGACCACAGATACCATACTATTTGTACTCATGACTAACGTTTAATCACTACTTTCATCATTTTTTAATATTTTTGACGACATTTTGCACTTTATGTATAATTTGTATATATTTAAAAATTTATAAATATGTTTATCAGTACTAGTATTGCACAGTACAGGCTGTTCCTATTTTGAAACCAGACGAGCTTGTATGACATGCCTGGGTTTCTTATTATTACCCTTTGTATTACACCCATAATATTCATATAGTGAAGGTATACTTTACCTGTGTATAGTAGTCATCTGCTGCCATACAATACACGTGAGCGTGTATATAGCATGTTGCAGTTTCAAGGCTGTGTCTCCTGTAATCTCGTGTCGTTCGCCCTCGACGACCGGCTTGGTCTCGGCCGAGTCGTTCTCCGTCCCTTCTGTGGGCGTATCCGTTGATAAACGGAGGGTCACGCCTACAATTTAGTATACTTAATAATCATCATCACTTTTTCGCAAATTTATTTTTAATTTAGAAGTGCGTATTAATTTATTGAATATAAAATGTATAGGTATATATTAAAAAAAGACATAGTAGTAGTATATGATATGTGATATTTGACATCTCACCTACCATCTTTTTAAAAAAGACAACTCCCGCATTAGGAATATATTGTGTCGCGGGGGACTTTACAAACATGCATGGAACGAACAAAGAACACCCAGACTCATAACAACAATTTGTGGTGAGCGCTTAAACCACTACGTCATCCGTGCCGTTAATCTGATTTTAGCAAATCAAAAAGTGCGCTTCGTGTAACAAATTTTCCGTTTCTTTTTACAAAATCTACTAACAGATTGCAGAAACGATACAGATACCTTAAAATCAATATAGTATGTATTTATAGTATCTACGATCGCATCTTTGTATGCGTGCAGTCTCCCAAAATATAGATCATCAGAACTACTAAGTATTGTGCTAGTTCTGAAGACATAATTTAAAGATTTCACAATATGTTAAACGCTATTTTTTGTCTATCAAAATGTTATGATTATAAACGCGAGAGGAATCGTCGTTGACGTTCCACAACGAAAAGGGCCGGGTGACTGACCGCGGTGCCTGGTGGCGTCGAAGCCGGCGAAGGTGTCGGCGCGGCGCGGCAGCGCGGGGCTCTCGTAGGCGGCGGAGTGGCGCTCGCCCGCCGAGCTCGTGCTGCGCCCCAGCGCGCCGCCCGCGCTCCACGGCGCGCTGCTCGCCTCCAGCGCCTCCTGCCACCGCACCACGCATGCTTATATGCACCTAGCCCTGCACTCTGCACTGATGTCTTTTTCTAATCGGCCGAGCGTGCGATGCTCTTCGTGGATTGGAAATAGACCTCTCGGCAGCTTTCACTCTCGCACCTGCTCTATTTGCTCTATTCTTATATCTTTTTGTTCATAATCTGTACAGTTCCTTATCGGTGTCGTATATTACCGTATTAACTTTGCAGTGGGAACTCAGTCGAATTAATCGAATGGCAATTCCATCGGTGTATTTTTTAAAATAAAATATCGTTTAAAGTTAAATAATCAAGCTAACTTAATCAGAAAATACTACTGATGTAGCACACATAATACTGAAATTCCACTTCATGAAATCATTGAAATTAATAATAACTTATGTTACAATACCTCACAGAACAGTTTAACCAGAAAACCCTACGTAAGTTTCGAATGCTTAATTAAGCCGCCTGGCATAATTACTATGTTTTTGCATTATTATAGTTAACTAATATCTATTTAAAAGACTGACTCTATATTTAAATAACATGTCGACAGCACAACTTACGTATACAGACTGGTACTGACTATCTCTTTGAAACTAACTATTACAATATAGAAAATTAAAATATAACAAGGAGTACAAAAGCCCCACCAGACAGTACCTTAACAACTTTGCACACTTCTTGCCATAAAGCATACTTGTCAGGTGAGGGCGCCGCAAGACGTACGTAGTCTGGAAACACCAGTCCAGGGAATGCAGTACCAGATCCTGTAGAAATAAAATACTGTACTAATCAGCTTTTTAAATACATTAAGTCAGTGAAATATTTATCGCTAATAAAGACTATAATGTTTACAAAAAAAAAACTTTTTTAAACCTTTCAGACCTGTGATGGTGGGAAAGCTTTTACAAGATACGTTTTAAGTAGCTATAAAAATTTTAACGTCTACCTATTGTTTGTTTCATGTCAGGTTCTCTATTATTATTATGTATAATATGTATGTTTTTTCAAAAAAAAGTATATAAGTATTCTATCAGTCAATCTAGCTTTTATAGTGCAAGCTCTGCTTAGTTTGAAACTAGATGGCGTTGTGTCCATGTCTGAAATTATTATTATTATTTATAATATTAGAATATTCAACTACTTTTCACTTTAAATGGTGCAATTAACTTTTCAATATCGGCACGCCTATTAGCGTTACAGTAAAAGTTCGTTTACTATTAAGTAATACTACTAAGCATAAAATTCAGCATAATGATCATTACGAATAATATTATGAGACATAAATGTTTTACCTTAATATTTATTGTCATAAATACTATCGGCATAAGAATAAAGATCCACAATTTTTTGAAGCCATGTTGTAAATATATTATGGATGTTATTAGGAAGGTTATGATATTTATAGGCATAAAAAATACGCATAATTGGTTCAGCTACTACAACGCAAGCAGTTCAGTGCAATTGGTTACAATAAACCCAATCTACAGATTTTTGAATTCTGGATGGCGCAATTCTGTGTTTTACTATGTATTTTATTATGTCCTAAAATTTAATTTCAGTGCTTATTTATGGTATAAAGGAACAAACCTGCATTAGGTACAGTGATCCAAGTTTCGTCAGTAATGCCGACCATCTTCATTTGTAAGGCCATCTTCTCTTCGAGCAACGTCGCGTGCTCCCTATCCTTCACCCTCAGTGCTTCTGTAGAAATAAAACCAGAGACGTATAACTAAATGTGATTAGAGATAAATGGTGCATTGTTTGAATATACTGATACTTGTTAGAAAATAAATAATTTTGTTTGGCAAGCAATATTGAATTAATAAGTAAAATAAGAGCTCACAATTTTATTGAAAGTTCACAATTATTTTGTATACTTAATTATTTTTTACATCACATTCATCTCAACCACTAAATAAATGATATCCACAGTGTGTGTGTGGTAATGAACTTTCATAATCTTTTAGTATCATGATATATTATATAGGTTAGTTGAATTACGTGTTTTGTGAAGTAGGTGCAAAACTAGTTGTTTTTTATATGAAATTTGTTTTCATAAAATTCTGGAATATTTTACAGTTAAGTTTTATTTTGATTTATATTAAGTTACTGTGCAAAGAGAGGACCTAATTTTGCTGCTGCATTTCTCGAAAGACCCACTCAAATTATTTAAAAAAATGAGCGAATTATGAACTTGATTTGACCATATTCAATATTGCTTGTCAGTCATAACGTGATAAAAATAAACACTTATTTTTTTACTGAATAGGAGAATAATATGTTTTATTAATCCACACAGAAATTCGTAAATCATAACAAATGCTACACACATGGATACATTCACTTATATTTTATTTTTTTGACATGGCAATTCACGGAACATTTTATACACGATACCGAGTACAATAGTGCCTCCTCTACATCGGCTACGATGGACAGTGAATGGCCGGCTTTATAAAAAAATATAGGAATTCAATGAAACATGCTGTCATGCAACAACAATCTGTTTTAATGAATATTATCACCTTCTATTTGCCACCACGGTGTTTCATCTGTTTAATCACAAAATTACTATTGTTTAAATAGATTCATCTCGGGAATGACACCTACGGCGTTGTGGCCCAATATATTTTAAATTGTTATTTAATTTGGAATCCGTAGATACCATAATGTATTTAAAGTTCATTTCGATAGTGTAATGGTGTAAATTAAATTTTCTATATTTTGTAACATTCTTTTTATATTAGCATCACTTATGACTTACAAATCTTAGAAATAAATTTGAACCTACTTCTAATTTTCTTTCGCTTTGTATGTAGTTGAGATGACAACAGTGGCTACTAGTACTAAAATTTGGTGGATGACTGATATGTTTGTCTGTTGTTTGTTTGAATGTGTCTAGTGTGGGAGTTGTGTTCACTAGGTGTTCACTTGGTCATTTCTAAATCTATTCAAACCTATATGAGCATTCAAGGAATAGCTTGCACTAACAGCTTTGAACTAATATTTCTGCGATCACCGGACTTTCAGGAATTTGACGGGCCTAGTGGTTAGTGACCCTGACTGTTAAAACGGCGGTCGTGGGTTCGTTTCTCACCCAGTACTAATAATTTTGTGATGAAAACGATCATTTGTTTTGCGTATGAGTGTTATTTATCTATAATATGTATGTATTTAGAAATATATAAGTATGTTTATCAGGCGTCTCGTTTTATCCTTCCGGATCAAACGGCCGTGTATGAGAGTTGTGAAGTTAACATCATTATTATGTTTCATTTATTTGTAACTTAAGTTTTTCTATGCAAAGAACAATGGCAGGCATGTAGGGGACTTTTGTACTACCTTGCATATCTCATGGCAGAGATTATTGTTGCATTCAAATGAATGGTAATATATCCAACAATTAATTACCAGACTTCTATAACTTTGAGTTTACTAATTATTTCAGTTTGTAGTTTGCATAGTATTATAGGTATAAGCTGTACTGAAGTCGATATCAATGACAGCTGGCTGTCACAAATTAGTTGTCATTGCTGTCAACAAGTTAACATAGATATCTTTCAAAATCATTGGATGTTTTTTTTATCCTTGATGATGTCCTGTCAAATTAGTTTAATTACCTTTTCTTACAATGTAGTCTTGTTTTCAATAATTTTACTTGCAGTTTGTAGATATAATTTATGTATGTATTATATGTTCTACAACAACTACTAAGACCGTATCCTATTAGAAAATCATTTTATAACATTCTCAGAGTATGAAATGGTCATTTGAATTTGAGCTTACACATTTTCGATAGTATTATTCCTTACTTATAACAAACATAGTCTATATGCGGTCTCCAGTTGAATTTTTTATCAATTATTAGGCCGAGATAAGAGTGCTGAGATACTATTTCCAGTGCTGGACATTTGCATGTTAGTACTATTGGGCTATAGAGAAATAGATGGTGGTGTGCTCGTATGATTGGCTTTAGGTATGTGTAATGAATGTGCATGACTTTTGTCTTCTCGTAGTTTATGATTAGGCCCACATTGTGCGCCCACTTATATAATAAATCAAAGATTTGTTGCATTTTATTTTGTGCATGAACTACATTTTTGTCGGCCACTATTATACATGTGTCGTCAGCAAATTAGTATACAGAACCCTCCTTGAGTACGTTATACATGTCGTTACAATATAATAAGTATTCCGTAGGGCCAATCACCGAGCCTTGGGCCGTGCTTTTTTCAGTTTTCAGGGGTAATTAAACACATTTCGTATTTTTACAGTAGTCTGTCTTTTAGAATGATAATTCTAAAGAAAATCCAGAAGAGGGCCTTGTGCCTTGAGGCCGAAGCGCGCGGGGTCTCCCCTCCGGCCGCCATTTTGTGTTATTACTTTTGTGCGATACCTACGGGGAATGACCTTAACCTTTGACAGCTGCTTGCATAAAAAGTTTAACCCAGATAAGCCTACTGTCCCATATGTCTGCAATGTACTTTTAGATGTAATTTTGAAAAAAATATTTATAAAATGGATAATATATTATAACTGCACCTTTTTAATTTTTATTTCAATAGCTTGTCACTACAAATCCATTAAATATATATTCTGTTAATGTGTGCGTAAGTTGAAATATTTTTTTATTTCTACCGTTCGACATATGGGACAGTAGGCTAATCTTGGTTAATTTTCCGGCAGAAAATTAGTATTAGATAATATTTTGAAGTTTTGTGACTTTATTACTTTGTACCATGGTTGTAATTAGGTTAAACCTAAAACTGTTTTAAAACTTTTCTCTCCGTTTGTTAGTAAACAAAAGTAGCAGTGTAAGTATATAGTCACGCGAACGGCATTTAGCTTTGATTTTGTACGTAACTCTTTATCTAGTTGCTATTGTTGATCGAAACCTAGGATACATATTTAATATTTTATGACTAATAGGTTTCACCAATTTGCTTTTATTAAAAATTTATATCCTTATCGACGGTGAAACACGGAATAGTATCTATTTAGTCAAACACCACACGACAGGGCATGACTTTCACAACACAATGAATATAATGAGATAATAAAATTCAGAAAGTCTTATATCCCTTATATCCTATATATAGTCTTATTAATGTTACCTGTAATCAGTCTTATATTCTCATGTCTGGCATCGAGCTGCCGTTGCCGCTCTTCAGCGGACTGTGCTGTTGTTCCCGCTTCTGACTCCTCCACCTCTTCCGGACAGTTTTGTACTGCCGCTCTGTTTACGAAATTAATACCCATTTTACATTTATACGTTATTTTTATGAGTGATTTTACTACATGTTATTGATTTTGTTTACAAATATCTGCCGATTAATTTTCATGTCGTGAAAATTCAATAATTAAAAAAAATTCGTCACTAGCTTTATAGGATCCACAATCAATCAAAGAAGAAGAACCAATTAGTGAGGATTGTTTTTTATTACAGATTATCGTGTATATTCCAAATAATTTAAATATTTATTTGCTATTGGTATAACAATATTTACCTTATAGCTTGTATCCAAGTGTGTATGTCCTTGGGTCGATGTACCCTTAGCTCAAACATCTCGGGCTCAGTGGGCCCACTGCATATTAAGTAAAGGCCACGCCCTTCCGCACCTGCTTTTTCTCGGACTAGTAATTTCACTAGAGATACGACTCCAGTCTGTGGAGATAACATTATATGTGTTCAAAGTATGTATATATGTATAACTATCCTTGTTAAATTCACTTATAACATATTTAATTTGAAATTAATATATTAACAATGTTATATTTCCTTTTTCAAATATTTCCACAGAGTAAAAAAGAAGCTACATCTGGCAACAAACTGTTGCAAAGATTGACAAAAGTATTAGATTATAAACACCCTTGTAATTATTCTGAAAAAAAATTTGGAAAAAAATTGTGTCACAACAAGAATAGGTAAAATACACCGGTGTTTCTTAATTGTAACTCTTTCAAGTGCTATGTAAGGTACAATCAATTAGTTACCTTATTGTCAGGTGTAAAGAAAGTATATTTGTTGTTGTTGTCGTGAAGAAAGAAGAGCACATCCGTCAACACTATAACGAGCAACGTTTGCATCTTGCTGCGGCCTTGCATTAGTGTGGCTACTCCCTCGAACCTGGGTACAATGTGAAACATTTCTAACTATACAATTATTAAGAAACTAAAAAGATGAACCATTACAAATTATTTAAGCTATTAAAAAAATACAAATACATTAGATTTTCATATAGCATAAAGCCAGTACCTACTATATCTATTTATAGCATTTATATTAATTTAAAACTTTATATATTTGCAATCCAGTTGGGGGGGGGGGGGGGGGATTCAATGCCTTAAGCATTTTCTGCCAGTCAACCTTTGCGTAACGCACTGAAAATAGGAAATACATATCTATGTATTTCCTGTTTTCTGTGCGTCCTGTTTTTTGTGCGCATCTGCATTACAGACATAAAAAAATGAATGTATAAATCGATATTATCAGCTAAGCAAGATCTGAATATATTTACATATTATAAACTTACTTACACATACATTTGTATATATTATACAGATACATGTATAATTTACATGTAAATCTACAAAAATCTCAATAATTTTACATCAAAACAGGTTTAAAGAAGGATCACATTAACCTAACTTACTTGAGACTTCTATTTCCCTGTAATATATCACTCTTCTTGAACTTTCTGCCTCTGAAATTGGCAAATGACTTGGCATCGATCCGGTGATATATCTCTAACTTGCGATCCTCACGTTCCTTTGCAGCCACTTGGTTGTCCACGTCTACTAAAATTTCCTGTTTAAAAAATATTTACAATATAATACACTAACTGAGCCACGCAATTTGTTTGCGTCTCTTAACAGCAATAAATATGTCCGTTTTTGCAACATTTTCATTGCTACTCAGCTCCTATTGGTCGTAGCGTAATGTTAGATAGCCTATAGCCTTCCCGGATAAATGGACTATCCAACACTAAAAGATTTTGGCAGAATGAATCAGTTATTCTTGAGATTAGCGTGTTCAACCAAACAAACAAACTATTCAGTTTAATAATATAAAATTTAAAAGTATGGAATTTGTCATTGGAAGCATCATCACCATCGGTATCGCAACTCATCATATCTCATCACACTATTATGAAAGTGTCAGTGTTGCTCACGATGTGCGTTTTTTGCCTATAGTGTGAATTTTTATTACTCTTTCTGATTGAAATAGTACAAACACATTATAATTTATATTCGATCATTTAACTTCAATAGGAGACTCAAAACATGAGCCAATCAGCAAAAATTTGCTTTGGGTTTAAGTCTCCAGTTACTACTGCTGAAGTTAGATTAAAACCTGTTTTTTTTAACAAATCTATAATTTTCAATATTAGTTGATACTTCTTTTGACGTTGTTGTTTAGATGTATTCGATTTGCATTTGAATTTCAATAAATTCAGCAAACTGTTGGAATCTACTGATGATGCTTAAAAAAGCCTTTTTTTTAAGTGAGGAAACCCCCTCGGGCCGTTACCCCACCGGAGTTGGCGTCAAGGAGGTGTGTCGGAATTGAACCGAAATAGGAGGGATCCGGGAACAGCTGTTATTAAGATATCCAGAATGTTCAAAATAGCTTAGACCACCCACAAACCACACTCACAATTAAAGAAATAAGTTGAATGTTCATTAAAAAAAGATTTTATTCCAGTTTTATGGTCACACCTTCACAACTAACTAAACAAGTATTTACCTTGACACCACAAAGCGCTTTTTGTAATAGCTCCCTCTCGCTGACGTCATCGCCAGCCGTCTTCAGCAGCGGCTCTAGCAGTAGCGGGTACTTTGTCAACCTTTGTGCCACGAATAACACGCATTCTGGTACACCCTGTACAATGAATAATGAAGTCATAGAAAATCGTTATCAGGTCTTTAAACTTATCGATAGGCCTATTTTATTCACATATTCATCCTAGAAATAGTGGTGTTTATAAAATGTATAACATTTTGATCAGATCTTTACCGTGATTTATTTTTGCTACTTTAAATAACAAAATGTAAAAAAAATTGAAAATCAAAAATAAAAAGGTTTTTGAAAGTAAAGAAATTTTTAAGAAAATAAATGTCATGTCGATGTAAAAGCAGTTAAGTTGTTTATTTAAACTTGCTGCTATAAAATTAGCAACAAATGAACAGTGCGTAGCAATAATATATAAAGTTCTTTGAAGATTATTTACGGAACATAACTCACTTTTTTCCTGAGTAACGGATTCTGTTGGCACTTTCTTATAAATCTGGATAGGCGGGCTTCTCTCGCACAACACTCTTTGAATACTTCTACAGCATCTCGGTGGCGGGAACAAAATTCACCTGGGTATACAATACAATAAGTTTAACTTTGAAGAGTTTTCTGACATCAAAACGTAAATATTTTTACCCTAATACAATTGTCGCGAATAATTTGTTGATCTGTTACACATCTTTTCTTTTACATTTCATGCTCGTGTAAACAGGAATCCCGGGGAGCGCGCGTAATTTGCTTTGATGCTGGGACGTTAGATGTTTTTTTTTTCATGATATAGAAGGCCAAACGAGCACACGGGTCACCTGATGATAAGTAATAACAACTGCCCCATGTAGACACCTGTGCGTTGCCGCCCCTTTAACCGACATCGGCGACGGTGTGCACAGTACGTACCGTAGGCGGCCTTGAGCTTGTGGTGCGCGGGCGGCGCGAAGGTGTCGGCGAGGATGTCGGCGATGGTGTGCACAGTACGTACCGTAGGCGGCCTTGAGCTTGTGGTGCGCGGGCGGCGCGAAGGTGTCGGCGAGGATGTCGGCGACGGTGTGCACAGTACGTACCGTAGGCGGCCTTGAGCTTGTGGTGCGCGGGCGGCGCGAAGGTGTCGGCGAGGATGTCGGCGATGGTGTGCACAGTACGTACCGTAGGCGGCCTTGAGCTTGTGGTGCGCGGGCGGCGCGAAGGTGTCGGCGAGGATGTCGGCGATGGTGTGCACAGTACGTACCGTAGGCGGCCTTGAGCTTGTGGTGCGCGGGCGGCGCGAAGGTGTCGGCGAGGATGTCGGCGATGGTGTGCACGCGGGGCGCGGCGCGCTGGCGGGCGCGCAGGCGGGCCAGCAGCGCGGCGTGCAGCGCCCACAGCTCGTCGACGCGCGGGAACATGCGCGCCACCTGCGCCGCCGACACGCCCGCGCCGCGCACCATGCCGCACGCGAACATCTGCGCCGACCGTACGCATCAAAACTGACGTCTGTCACTTGTTATACTCCATATAGATATATCAGTTACGTAATCGCTAACTTACAAATTGAACCGTCACACAAGCGTCATAGCAGAAAATATCAGAAGTAAATCATTTTTGTTTTTTTAACCCCCGATGAAAAACGAGGGATGTTATAAGTTTAACCTATGTATCTGTCTGTCTGTCTGTGGCATCATAGCGCCCGAACGGATGGACCAATTTCGATACGGCTTTTTTGTTCGAAAGCCGATGTGATCGAGATGGTTGTTGGCTATAAATTTTAAAGATCATCAGCTCACTTCCTCAGTCATTACTTAGAGATCTCACTAAAATCCACAGGTCCGATTGATCTGAAATTTGGTATTTGTACTATTACTTTAATGACATTTCCACGACATGGGAACCTGGAACTTGCTGTTGCATCAAGTAGTCTGCGGGATAGCAAACTCCTCAGAAAAATACAGCATTATATACCATATTTGGACTTATTAGAACAGTCTCAATGAGCAGTTTTTACAAGTTTTTTTTTGTGTCGAGGGTTTTTTAATTATGCTATTTATTTCTTAAGTTTTCTTTTTCTAATAGACTATTATTCATGCGTTAAGGCCTATCTATAAAAAAAAGGCAGTATCGAAAAAAATTACAACATTCAATTTGAATATATTGTTGCTCTAATGAAAGTGTTTAAAAAAGGATTTACTAAAAACTATTTACAAATAATTACCTTTTGCATTAGCCTTATCGTTAAACAATGATGTTTCTCGGTCAATATTAGCTCGTATATGTGTTCTTGTCTTTTTGTTTCTCTATCACCAAGTTGTCTGAAACATACGAGTATTTTTTATTATAAGTGTTAATTTAAAACATTTCGAAATAAGTTGCTTCAATAAAGGCATACTTGGCGAGTCCTTTAGGCGCACCAGCGGCCCACGTGTCGGGTTCAGTAGCGCCCAGGCCGAGCTGGATTGCCTCGTCTCCAAGTTGATCCGGTGTCAGGTACACTTCGGGCCATTCTGATACGCCTGCGTCGTCTGATGCACTGGAAAGTTATAATAATAATCTTCGTTTACATGCATTATTTTTTTATGATATGGGAAGCAGCACCGAGCAGAGAAGAGAAAATTCGATCTCCGATTACCTCATTCACTTTGTGACATTCTAGTCCCAAATTAAGCAGAGCGTGTACTATGGGTACTAGACAACTGATATAAATAAATATATACTTTTATTGTAAATACATACATATTTTACATAGAAACACCCAGAGCAAAACAAACATTAAATGTTCATGCACACAAATGTTTGACTTAAGCGGGAATCGAATCGCGAATTTTAGAATAGCAGCTCGTTACACAAACCACTTCGCCACCCAGTCGTCGTATAAATATATCTAATAATATATATCACACACACCTCACACACTGCCGTCTGATCCCAAACTAGGCAGAGCCTGTACTATGGTAACCAGACCGCTGATAAACATACTTATATATTTTTAAATACATACATATTATAGATAAATTACACCCAGACACAGAGCAAATGACCGTGCTCATCACACAATATTTGTCCTGGGTGGGAATCGAACCCACGACCTCCGGCTTAGCAGTCAGGGTCACTAACCACTAGACCAACAGGCCCGTCAAATATAATATTAAATCGCTGAATTAACTACAAACATACTATTCTTATGAAATTTAAGCTGAACGGGTTATGTTACTAGATTTCTGTTCTTAGTAAATAAGAACATTCATCCATATTCACTCTATTTCGAGTATAGAGCCAGGGAAGAGACTCCGTCAATGTCAAATATTTCAAAATACACTTTAGAAACTGATTGGCAGGTGATTAAAGTCGTAAAATATATTTCATTGGCGATCCGACCCGGCTTCGTAGGAGTGCAATGTAGATACTACTAATGTGGTGTCAGCGTGGAATAACTAATTTTACTATTATTATGATAGGACTATACTACAGGACATCTTTAAATGCAATGTTTATAGGCCACACGTACGGCTCGACGGTCGTTGAGGACCTCATTTTCATACTATAATATCTTCTAAAATATTCATTTTAATGATATGCTGTAAAAAGCAATTTTAATCTACATTAAATGCACAACGTATCTCACGTATTTAATTGGATAAGGAATAATAACGTATTGTTTAAAAAAGGTTTGTAAATCACCCATTATTTTTTTGTGATATTTAAAAGATAAAAATGTTTACCCTTTACCCTTAGGAGATACACATACGAGTATACCATTGTGAACTTTTTTGAAGATCTTTTTAAGATATACAATGTCGTAGTACATTATTTTGGTATATCTCATAAGGATTTGGATTAAGTAGCAAATAACGTAAGCTCACAAAACCATGTTTTTTAAGACAAATCTTTGAAATTCTCGGATTTTCTCCACTATAATATACATGTATTATACATATAAACCTTCCCCTTAAATCACTCTCAAAGATTTTAGTTTAGAAGTTTAAAATAACACAAAAAGCGACTTTATTTTATACTATGTAAAGATTTATCATTGCCATATTAACTTAGAAGCAATACGTTTTAGACGGTATTTTACTCTCATTTAGAGGTTATACTTGGAATAGACCTATAACTCACCGATTACTTTTGTTGGTTACATTTAAATTCACCATGGAAATGCCATGGTAGAGGACGTAGAACATGTTTTGATGGAATGTGTTCGGAACCAATAACTTAGAGAACGCCTGCTTAGTGGACATTGGACGATGTAACAGCATCTGTTTATACTTTGTGTTTTGAGTATTTAAGTTTAGTTTAAGACAAAAAAATGGCTATGATGGAGCGACATAGTCATAATTGTGGTTAAGCTCCGTAAATGAAGATAAAAAAAAATTGACATGCCATGGTATTGTGAGGATGAGACTTACTTGCTTTGGTCATGTTTGTGGTCCGAGCCGTCCTTGTCGTCGTAAATATGGCCCGTGCTGAAATCGAAATTAAAAAATCAGTGTGACACTTTCAATCATTATAAGATTACAGGCAACACAGAATAAAGATGTATGGTAAGAGGAACTGTTTACCAAATGTATACCAAAAAGGATTGAGAAGTTGATAGAAGAGTTTTTTTTTTTAAATTTGGACTTGCATGGTCAGATTTTTCAGATTTTTGAGTCGTGCTTATTACTGGAAGCACGAAACTCAGTAACTTGTGAGCACCTTATATGTATATTTACAAGGTTTTTATCACTGGTATAGTCTCAAAAATACCAATAAAAAACAATGAATATAATCATAATTTACTTCAAATATACATTTGGAATATACATTTCCGTGTTAGAGAATACAAGCTGCAATATAATATTTATTTTGTAGTTTAAATACGTTGAAGTTTGGGGTTGCTAACTACTTAATATTCCGTGTTGCCCTTATAAACAAAACTGAGGCGACACGGGGTCACTTGACAACCGACATACAGTTCTTACCTACACATAAAAATATAAATGAATAATATTAGTTTATTAACAGTTTTTTTTCTTAAGGTTTACTTCAGCAAAGCCTAAATAATAAGAAGAAGCATAGAACTGACATTAAAATTTCAACATCATGCAAAACCTTGATAAAAAATAGTGTGGAATTAAAAAAAAAACATTTTCAAATATAATAGCTTCGTTGCTGCATCGAAGAAAACTACATCTGTTCGAGGTAATACTGATTCATGCAAAGGAATTTTTGTCTAAACATACTTACTAAATTACCGATAATCTCGGCGTATAACATCATTACTGACGGGATTTTTGTTACTTAAAAACCGCAGCCTAATTATAGAGCTCGATTCCACTTATCTATATCCACGCATATGAATAAATCCATTTTATTTTCATCCCTAAACACAATCAGTAATAATAGCTCGCACGAGATGGCAGCAAATTATAGATGAAAATAAGATGCATATATTCATCTCATCTATTTTAAAGAATACATTTAAACAGAACCAAAATAGAATAATGCATGCAGCTGTTTGAAAAAAAAACAAAAATCCCTTTGCATCAATACCTCAATCGAACAGTAAACCTGTGACCAACAAAACAACCAGCATAAACGAGACAGTAAAAAAACTTTTTGTTCGGAACAAGTGCTACAACAACATTGTATGTCAAGAGAAACAAACTACCTCCATAATAGACAGAAAGATACACAAGTAAGGCGTCGTGGATGATTCGAGAACAAGAAGAAACTCCGTATGTTGATGGACACGCGTGTCCTTGTATACTATACTTAAAGGTGTGGTTTGTGAAATAACAATGTAATACTTATACCACAGTGAACCTAAGTTCAATGAAACTATTTCGCAGTGTCGTCATAGTGAACACAGATTAAAAGGTATATAACAAATTTTTACGGAACATTATTCTGAATATTTCGGCCAAACTCGACTGAGTATTTAGCTAATTGCCGAATAACCGACCACGGTTTACGCACCAAGACTAACAATAATCTTCATTTGCCTTCAACTATGCCACCATAAACAACGGACATATTGATCATAGCGTATTAATATATTCTACCTCATGTAAATAGAAAACAAAAAATTGTCTATTTAATAGCAAATAAGCAACAAGTGCTTGTACTTTAAGTTAAAATGCACTATGTTTAACACGTGATAGGAAAATACATAAATATCTTGTGAGTAAAAAATAAGTTCGAAGTGAAACCCGGTTCGAAGGACCAAAAATTTAGGGTTTCTTTCTATAACATGAACTTAATTAAATAAAATTGTTGTAGATTGTAAAAGTAGGTTTTTAGTATGTGGATTTTGTGTTTTTCTTAAAAGATTAACTTACTTACGATTACCATAATAACTTTTTTATAGCTTGATGAGTTGTAGTAGCACTATTACATAGCTTTTGAAGAGCGTGTGTTTTGTTAAAATGACTTCTGATATTTTAAAGTACAAATTTGGGAATCAAAAGATATAAGTGCGATAATTGAGCTGAGCTTATATGCAGACTAAGGTGGGTATGAAAAATAACGTGCTGTAAAGTATATTTAATGCATTTGAATGTTAGCGTCTGGCGTTGAATAATTTATTGTCATAATCGTTGACAGGTGCGAAATATGAAAACTTTTTGGAAATGGTTGCTAATTCTTATATTAATGTAAGTTTACTTTGGTTCCTTTTGGTATTCCACATAAACACATACTTCTTAATTATGTCAATTTTACGCTCCGAATATTAAATAGCATAAAGACCCAACCGTATTGCGTAAGTTATCTTAGGTTCACTGTGATACAATCAAACAATATATGTGAAATGTATAATGAGAAACAGAGACAATCGAACATTTGCAAGGTCCCCCCCTAATGTAAGCCTTCCCATAATCTACTTAATAAAGATGGACGGCTTGGCACTGTCGGTGGTCTAGAGAGGCTTCTGAAGAATGAATCGGCAGCAATGATGACAGAAGGCTATGGTAATAGATAACACAATGCTCTCTTAACAACAATGAACATGATAAATCAGGAACATGGTATGTTTTTGTTCCATGGATACTTTTGTTACTACCACCAAAAAGAGATCGCGGAGCGGTGCTTAGTTTAATATAACTAAAGTTGTTTGACATCAGTGGCGGATGTGTCATAATTATTTATATTATAAATATATAAAAATAGCATCATGACCTGAAAACATTTTTAATTAATAAATTAATTGCCTATAGTCAACATAAAAACATTAACGTACCTTAAAAAAAATTAAAACGTTAAAATAATGCCCTAGCAACCTCCTAACCAGGAGCACATTACTGTGAAATGACAAGACGGACAGAGACAGATATACAACGAATGAACGTGTAATGTATGTATGAATGAGAGAGTAAGAAATAGGCAGCGCGTGTCTCAGCATTCCCTGCACTTACTGCACGCCGAGTTTGGTCGCGACGCGTCGCCACGGCGAGTAGCATCCGGTCGACTGCTTCTTGCTGTGTGCGTGCCGCGGGAACGAACACGAATACACACGTGTACATTTGTGTGCGTGGCAAACACATTTTTGTAGAACGTGACGCGATTGGACAGATCGAGGTGATTAAAATTTTTAACTTTTTATTTAGAATTGATCTTTCAGATAAGCACAATAACGTTCAAATGGTTTTGCAGTAGCAAGTATTTTTAATAAGCTGGACTATTTTACCAGGCTATGTAATTCTCTTAAATCAAGTGATTAAGTGCCCATTGACATCGAATATTTTTAGATTAAGAGAATTGTATGATTCGCGGAAATGGATTTGAAGAACCTCAATATATTTTAGGCCACCTCGATATCTCCAAGCCCAATGAGTACTTTTAAATCAAACATTCCATTTCAAAAAGAAACGTAAAGAAACAACGAAAAGACGGAGAATAGCTTACAGGAAAATTAATATAGCATATTAGACAGTACGAACATATATACAAAAAGAGAAACAATAGCAAGATTACAAAGCAAAATGTATATTCATGTAGAGTATAAAAATATTTGTGTATCCTTGCCGCGTGGTCACGAAACCAACCATAAGTCAATGTCTACATAATGTCTTCAACCGTTTATTGTTGTGCATAATCATTATTAAACGAGTTTCTTTTGAAGAAAAGTTTAGTATTGTTATTTATTCATTATTTATACTGAGTTTTTTTGCATTAAAAAAATGGGACAAAAAAACTAAAATATGTGACTCCTCACTGACGTTGCAATTTAATATGAGTTATTTGAAAGTTATTGTAAATGAAAAATATGTAACATTTCATAAATCGAACTAAACTTCACTTAACTTTTAGAATATAAACTTTCACTAATATCCAAAATGGGGAAATAAATAAAGTTATTCAGGTTTTTTCAAATTTGTGACAATGTGACAACCAATATACAATGTAATAATGGCAGTCAAAAACTAAAATCAAGAATGTTTAAACATACTTTTAGCGTTTATAAGTATTTTTTGTGTTATTTGCGAGTATTTTACGATGTATTCCTGAAATAACTGGTTAAACTCATTAAGTGCTAAGTTGGAAATTAAATACATTATTTATCTTATACTTTATCCTATCTCTTTATGTGGTAATGAAGTTCGCGTTTTGTCTTCTTATTCATCTAATGACATTTGACAATGAAGACAAAAATGGTGGTGGTATTTTGATAATTTCAGTTCATTTGTCTGGAAAAATAATAATAAGACGCAGGGAGATTATTTCAGACTAGTTACTCGAAGGAAAAAGAAGTCTTCAAAGACTTTAGTAAAATAGGTGTTTCGATGGTTAAGCGTGTTTTCATAGTTGGAACCTTTGTCTGCGTCTTAATGAAGGAATGATGAGAGTTAATTCGAAAAGAGCTTTCGAACACTCATCAAAGTCAATCCTAACACATACCGACTAGTATTAGACTTTGTGACGATGCTCAAGAATATGCAAGCAGTTCACTAGTCGTGAGCAAATACATTGTCTAAAGTAAACGGGATTGTAGTCACGTACTGCTTTATTACTAGTCATTTTAATATGTCAAACGTAACTGGCTATGATTATTTAAACAGAATTTCTTGTTATAACAAGGTGTAAATAAATAACCTTCATATATCGATTAACGAGGCTAACCCGCTAATCAAAAGAAACTAACAACCTCAAACTAATAATGCAGTTTGGAACAACACGCCAGAGTTAACCTCACCGGAGTAAAATTTACTTTTTACGAACGAGAGTAAAAAGTAGGATGTAACTTGTGAATTTTACTATTGCATATAGAAATATAAGTATTTTAATGCTTACATTCATTTCTTTTACAGACAGTGAGTATAACAACCGTATATTGAAGGTCAATACAAAGTTTAATAAAACATCTGGTAAGATCCAGTTTTGTACAGTTACATGTCGAAAAAATGAATGTATGTGGCAGTAAATATATTATTGATATGGTAACACTGGCGTATATCGGTCCAAAATGTATTATCAGCCTTCAGACCGCATATGCACATCGTCGCACGCAAAACAATAAAAATGCATTAGCAAAATCCATTTCTTTTATTTCATACCCCTCGCAATCAAAATATAAAGCAGCAAAATATATGCCATAACATAACTACGCGTTTTATTGGCATTATTTTCTCGTTTTAGTTTTTTTTTTGTTAGCTTATGGTAGTTGGCAATAGATGGCGTACTCACCTATTGGGGTTTTGTGATGCGGACGACACTGAGCTGCGTTTGCTGTTCTTACCGCTGCTGGCACTCAATGACTTGCCGACTGAAGTCTGAAATTATAATATTATAGTGTCAATTGATGACATCACAGATCAGATCAAATACATCGATGCTAATAAAGATTACATTACATCGTATATGTTGGTACATATTGTCCAAATTTTACAAATAAAAAAGTAGGAAGGCATATTTTCAATGTTTTTGTAAATTTGTACTTGTATATTTTACTCAGTGTAAACTTCTACGATCTAATTCTAGAAGTAAGTTTTTAGTTAGTTAAGACACCACAGGTTTTTTGTTTAAAAAGGTGGCGATATAGAGTTTTTCTTACCTTAGAAGATTTTGGCTTGTTGCATTCGACTATGTAGTCTTTGCATACATTTTGATGCACCGTCATTGTACAATCTGTAACGTAATAAAAGCATTGTTAGTTGCACCAAATAACTTAATATTGGACTGTTTCGACTTTCTTTATCTAACGTTTAAGAATAGCACATCTCGCCTTTTAACTCTTAATCTGATTAAAAATGCACACGCTTGCACGTACGCACGCACATTCACACGTATGTACTCACTCATACACCAATACCTCCTCTGTTTGTTTAATGATTTCTTAACATTTTGGTTTAGGAACTGTTAAATCTTTTCCTTTGAAGCTTTTATAGTATATTTATTATATATATATATTTTTAGTAGAATAGTAAAGTTCTACAATAACAAAATAATGCTAATATAATTTCAGCGAGTTCGATATTATTTTATGATTCATGTATTTACGCTGTATATAAAATGTAAAATATATTACTATCGCAATAGAGCGAAGGTTTGTCAGCGAGCGCGCGGTTGCACCAGTCGCAGTCCCCGCCGCTGCCCGCCGCGGACCACGCGTGAGCCGCCTTACGAGACTTGTCCTGCAACCAAATGTTCACTTACAAACGTCTACTTTCTTTACTTTCACGCAGAGAGGGCAGACTCTCAGAGGAGTCATTTGATGGAAAGCGACTACCGCCGCACATGAACGCCTGCAACTCAGGGGTCACAAACGCCTTTCCGACCTTTCAAGAAGGAGTACGCATATCAATGTGTAGTAATATCACTAGCTTGCTAACATCATTATAGTTTTAAATATTGAGACCAATTTGCGTTAAGTAATATTTAAAAAGTAAAAATTTTAGATTTAGAACACATTTTGCTCTCGCAAACCTCAGACATAATTCAGAGGATAAATACATCCTAAATTAATAAATTTAAGTTATTAAAGTAACTTACATTAATGTATTATGTAGTTTAGTGTTAGCTTATTTATTACTATAACAAACATACCTTCTTTTTCCTGAAGAATAAACTGCCCCGTTTCCGCCTCTTCTCAGCATGATGATCAAACGCAGCTCTGTATATAAAGCCACACTTTATTATAATGATTCAGAAAACAATAATAGGTAGTTAAATATCTATTCCCGCCGTCGGTTTTGTGTGTCATATTATTTTATGTATTTGTGGCATGCAGAAAAAGCCAACATAATTTCTTAAGTTAAAAAATTGTGTAAAAAACAGACACATCAAGCGAAGCTTATGACTAGCATGCTAATTATAAAAACTGGTGCTTATATCTGTGAAATACCGCCAGATACCTAATTAACACTCAATTATAAGTCGTCCTAATTGTGTGTTACTACTACAAATGCCTACAAGTAATGTAGGGATTTGTAGTGAAATGTGGATACTTATCCTATAATTGAGTGGTTGTAAGTATGAGGCTATTATTTATACTTACTCGTAAGACAGTAGAGTATGGCTTAATTTTATTTTCCATAACAATATTTAAAGCAAGTCTATTTCCTAACTGTGTTATTCGCTATCAGTTACATAAGATGCTGTTAAAAAACCGTCATTTATTTTATAACAAAAGAACAAACGTATTATTGACGTCTGTTATTTCGGAGACGACATTTAACATAACTTTAAACATGAATACTAAACATCAAACGATATTTTACTCGTCGTTTAGTGTAAAATATTTATTCCTCAATGAATACGAATATTTGGACTATAGTTTAAAAAAAAAAGTTTTAAAATTTTACAATAGACATTAACAGTAATGATGACATAATCACGGACCAAATCGATCAGTTTTTAATTAAATAATAACTTAAATACATAATGGTTTTTTAACTGAAGGCCATGCGAAACGCAACTCTTTTTGTAACGAAAAAGCTAGTAGTAGCTAGCTAGTATTAATATCATATATATTAATAGCTACTGATTACCTGATGTTTTGAGGTTATGACAACTATCAGCTGTCGACTCCTTTCTTCCTAATAAACCCAACGTTTAACGAGTACACTCGACGATTGTCCAAGTCTCAAATACCTAGGTGTTCTTCGGTTTTTTTTATATCCTATGCGACCTAAGCGTCTTTACCCGAATTTAGCTAGCTACAGGAAATTTCAAAAAGAAAATGTGCAGGAATACTTATTTAGCTAGTTTTTAATGAATACCAATGAAAACTAAACCTATTTGGCCTTCAAAACTCACGAGCTCCTGGCGTAATCTCCAATATTTTCTTTAAAGTAACAGTTCAAATAAATGTCAGTACATGGTTACAGTATATTTTTTTCTCTTTTCGAATAGTCAGAGTATTAAACAATCGTCTAGTGCCACCAAGTCACTCACTGTTCCAAAAACGCGAGTCTGTGCAGTCCAAGGTGGTCCTGATGTGTGTTGTTGCGCCTCGTCGGTTGCGTGGCCCCAACCGTCGCCGCGGACGGTTCGTCGCTCTCGCTGTCGCTGTGGCCCGCCGCGCTAATTCCACACTTACTAAAGTTATGTATGTACTACCGTGTTTTTTTTTATAAATTGTTGATCTCGTCTTTACAACCGTAACAGTCATTTTCTTATGAACAAAAATGACTTTTAAGCTTCTCTGTGTTTTATAACATATATTTATTACATTAAAAAATTACAGTATGTAAGTAAAGACTAGAGATCTGTTTGAAATAAATCACGGTAGTGTCACATAAGTGCTAATAAATTAAAAAAAGACATTGAATCTTGTGTAAATCTGAAGTGCTATATTAAACATTCAAAAGGAGCAAAGCAGAGTGCGTACATATAAATGAAACATTGATTCACACATCATGCACAACACAAACTATAATACTAGTACCTAATTGGAATTATGGTAATAACTTTCAAGTTCAGGTTTGTAATAGTGTGGTAGATATATAGTGTGAATATTTGAAGAACATAACTAAAAAACTTAAAAAGAAATGACATTGACTGTTTATATAAAAGTAGGAGAGTGTAAAAGGGGGTTTACTTACAGGTTTTATCGTTAATTAACATTTTGACATGTTTATTTATGATGCTAACTACTCTATAACATTCTTTGTTATAGCAAGCGGGTTAGTATTTGTCAGGTCAATGTTTAAATTTCGATCAATTTTTTTCTACTTTAAAAGTATTTGCGTATGTGTTATATCTTATTACTTGTAACAGGGAGTAAGTCTAATTTTACGATCTATTTTAATGGATGTAAGATTGATGGTAGTGGATTTATTTATTGGTCGGTGTAATGGTTTGAAAGAAATAAACTAACAAAATTAGTATCTTTAGTAAGTATATGTTTTTATAAGTAAATTCATAAATTCTTGTAGTTCTCATTTTTTGTGTTTAAATATAAAATCATATGTATTATTTAAAACGTTTTTACGCAGTGTATGTGGCATCGTTGCGTGACGTGTTACGTGAGGTAAGTGGCGGTTGCGTGTCACTTGTCGGTGTGTGTAGTGTCGAGTGTGGTGTGCGGTAGTGCAGTAGCGGTACATACACGTTGGGCTGTGGCTGCTGCAGGTGCGGCTGCACGGCGGCCACGATGCTGGGCGTGGACACGGACTTCTGCAGCGGCAGGCGCGGCACGAGGCGGCCCAGGTCCGTGACGCTGGCGCCGGCGCCCGGCCCGCCCAGGCACGCGCTCGCGCCGCCCGCGCGTAGTGCGGCCGTCACCTTCTCGAAGTCTTTCTGCACCGCAACGATCACACACTCACTAACTTTTTCTTTCATGGCTTAACTGGCTCACACCCAAGCCGAGTTAGGGCTTTGCTTCTAGGGTAAAATCCAATTATTCATTTGTTTCATGTGTGGTTGTTATATAATTTTAATCCGTGTCCTTAATTTACTTGAACGGTAAAACAATTCAGTCTTCTATTTTATTTAGTAGGAACTCATTTTCATACCGCAGTCTAGAATATTGTTATTTTCTAATTTAAGGTTCTAAACTAGACTTTTAAATGTTTGTGTATTTACAATAAAGTGTAATAAAATATACATTTACTAGTGATACTTACAGCCAGATCATTGTCATTGAGCGAATGAGTGGAGTGTCGTACGGGCCGCGGCACCTCGCCTTCTGACTCCATTGATGACAACGACGCACTGTGACCGTTTAATGTACTGAAATATCGAACACATAACTTTATTTTCTTCATGCGCAACAGACAAGTAACTGGTTCCTGCTAACAGGCAGATCGATTAACAAGCGACACTAACCTGCTAAAATTTGCTTATACTCCCCACTCCTCTATTTAAGTAATATTTTTTCCGCCGTTTGGTTTCTCTTACTTCCCCTTTTTTCCTTTCAATTTACTTCAAATTTTCCCTACGATTCCCAGTGCCTAGTTAAAGACAATCCCAATTATTCAGTTTTTTTTTTTGCCTGATTGTTGTCTAAATGTGAGTGTTTATTATGCCTCTGCCTAACCCTTCAAGAATACAGGTGTGAGGTAACACAGTATCCATTACAAGATGTTGGCCGAAGTCCGGTGGTCGTTTGAAATATCGTAGTTAAAAACTGTTAGTTGAGATATTCCTTTAGGGCCTTATACAGGATGTGAGAAAAGTACCGGAACAGCAGAATAATTCGCTAGGGATGCATTTTTCGGAAATACGTTAAGCACAAAAGTTACAGGCATTTTCCCTGGCTATCCTCGATTGGTGACCTTGAAATTGACCTTGATCGCAGCCTTGAAGGTTATCTCAAGGGTCAAGGGCATTTGAGCTCGGAATTGAAAAGAGAGGAAAAAATTACAATCGGATGACGTTCAGTAGGCAAATTTTGACCTCTGAATGTCTACAATCCAAGGTCAAACTCACACGTTTAGAGGTGAAAATATTGGTTTACGGTTATGTCTTATTGTGATTCTTTTTAAATAAAATCAGGATCCTATTTAAAAAATATGACCGTGACCTTAAAAGGAACTTGAAATTCATATCAGAGTTTACCCATTCTTAATCTAAGGTCTCCACTGAATAGCCAGGAAAAAACCCTGTAGCTGGTCTCTTGGCTGAAGAGAATAATCAATTTCTTATGGTTTTGTGAGTTTGACCTCCATTAGAGGTCAAAATTTGCGTACTGAAGGTCATATGCAATTGTATTTCCGAAAAATGCATCCTTAGCAAATTATTCTGCTGTTTCGGTACTTTCCTAACACCCGGTATATACATATATCTGCACATCCCCGCGTGGGCCACCCTCCTCCGTACTGTACATTTCATAATCATAATATAGTTATTAAGACTTGCACACGTGTACCTTATGCTTTCAATGACTCAGAACTCCTGTTTTGTATATCGTTAGGGCCACGACACTTAAGCTTTCACCCCTGCTGGAAAAACATATTAATACAATAGTATAATAGTGAAAGGTGTCATACCTGCGTTGCCTGTGCGAGTCGTGGAGTCTTGGGCCAGGTTCGAGTGCGGCCCAACTGCTTCGACGGCCTTCGTCGCGACGCTCCCATAATCCCCATTGCCTCGATTCACCTAAACAAAACGGAGTTCGGTTTTAAAAATTGACTGTTTAATACCAATAGATAAAAGACATCAAATATGATTAATTGTGATATAGCAAAATGAATATCTCCAGTAATAATTCGACCGAAATGGTACGTGAAGGGACGTTAAATAATGTTTATGCTTACGGAAATATTCGGTATAATTCAAGGTATTAATATAGAAATTACTAAGATGTGACCTAGATAATGGAGGAATTGTTAAATGCTCCTATGAGTATAGACAAATTGGGTTTCGTACATTTTCAATTCGGCATCTACTTAACTTTACAAAAATTGAATAAAATTAAAGGAATAAGTGTTGCTCTCGTAATCACCATTCCACTTTAGTGCTTACATAATACTGGAACGATCCCTAAGAGCTAGTCGGACCGGAGATCGGTGCGAGGCACGATGTTCGACACCTCAAAAACTTAACAAATTTAAAAAATCTGTTTTTTGATTTACCAATTTCATTAGTAGTTGGAATCCCCACAGACAGCAAGGCAACTTTACAGTACTGCAATATGACAATAGTAACTAATAATAATTGTAAGTCTTACCGCTGCCTTTACGGCTCTGTGGGTAGAAGTCAAGATGTGTCGGTGATGAGCAGTCTGGTTCTGCCACGCCGTCTTTGCAGAGTGACGGGCATGATGTACTTAAACGACTAGTGCCGGTTGCCTTTTAACAAAAAGATCAGTTTCAAATGGTTAACCTGTCAAGGAACACTAAGCAAATTATTGTGTATTCTACAACACGATTAAATGTATTCTTCATAGTTTGGTTTAGAACCTCTGCTCCTTTGCAATTTTTGATTATTTTTGTACAGTGATAAGAGAGAGGCAATAGTTACGAATTTCAGCATGAAATTCTAATGACTTATTTTTACAGTTGTAGCTGTATTTGTGATGCCTGAAACTTTATATTATATATTGAAATATGTAACCTTCTATTATATAATGTGTAACTTTTTGTTATTCCAAATAAATAAATAATTCTAGAACTGTAACAATCACTGATAGGCATAATAGATCACTCAGTAGAATGGATTATGACGGATGATTCAGTAAGAGCAGGAAAATAGCACATGGGAAGTGACTGGGTGTTAGTAACTTATTTGGATTTAAAAAGTACTTGTGTTAATGACGCAGAAATTCAAAGAATCTTATTATCAAGGTTAAAAAAAATAGTACGGTACCAGTAAAGGTAACGGCGCAGTTCTCATGCGCTGAACAGCTGCATGTAGCCGACGCAGTTGCTGTAAACTGTCTTCCAGAAGCCCGGGACTGTGCGGCGTCACCGATATTGTCGGTACCTGGAAAATAAACATTTATGCCCAAATAAATAGTAGTTTGGTATTTCATTTATTCTTTATATATAGGTATATAAATGTAGGATATGTTATGTTATGCGAGCTGAGCCCAAGTCTGAGTTTTCTTCAAGCGAACCTTCATAGTGAATAGAGGATAGCAGAGAACGTCATTACGTTCTCTTGCCATTGCCGTTGCCATTGCAAGTCATGTGTACTTAGGAATAAGTAGTAAAAATAATATAATTCAAACCAATACCCACATCAGTCGTCCGTGTGGTGACGAATTAAAAATTACGTAGTGTCACCTACCCTATTCATCCCGTGGGTGTCGTAAGAGCGAATTTAGGAAGCAAACTACAGCACTGCCAAGAGCAGGAAAACTTGACGCAAACCCCCTCTGACCAGCGTGGCATAGTAGGCCAAAACCTCCATTCTAAGGAGTGAAATATGTCCAGCAGTGGACTATTAAAGGCTGTTGATGATGATGACCCACATTCACATTTCCACATCCTTATCGATTGTAGATATCGAGTCTTGACTAAATATATTTACACCAATATGTGTAAAGGTGTATGTACGTTTACACATATGTGTACCTATATCAGATCTCCAAACGTGCGTAATTTTGTATTTCCCTGCTTTGTATACAGATGAAAGCCTGCACTATAGTTTGTTTACCTTTTCAATAAAATCCAAAGACTTTTAAACGAGCAGTTCAATTACGACACACCAGATTTCTACTTGAATAAGATCTTCGACTCACCTAGATTTATAGAATAGAACGAATACAATACGTACTTGTGCCCTGGCGGCGGCCATGTCTGGTGGTGGTGTGGAGTGGGTCACGTGCTCAGTTACCTCGTCCTCGCTGCTGTCTGAGGAGTCTGAGCTGCCGCCGCCCTCGTCTGCAAAAAAGAAAATGTGTTTTTTAAACATTATTAGATAACACGTTAAAACGTGTAAGATAATCAGGTAATTCTTAAAAGCTATTATATCACAGGGTTGTGTCGCTTGACCGGGGAAGTAGGCGACAGAAGAAAGCTTGGTTCGCCTCTCTCGAAAGATACAATCAGGCTCTAGTAAAATAACTCTTTACTCGTAATATTGGACTCAAATTGATAGCATTGCGAGGGAAAATTGTTCTCTACATAAAACAACTCAAACTCAACTCTCAACCACGGTGGTCGGTACGGCGATTCAGCCTAAATAGGAATGTCTGTACGATACGTATCTTTGCCTCACTGAAATTTTAAATCCATACAAATAAATAAAATTGAAGTGTCTGTTTGTAATATCAAAATGATAGGTTTTTTTTTCACACATTTATTAGCACGATACCTATGCCTAAAAACCATTTTTTTTGTCTGTTTGTTCCGGGTAAGTTCTAAACGGCTGGACCGACTTTGATAATATTTTACTACCAGGTAGTTATCTATATAAGAAGTAACTTTTTTTACTACACAGATGGCGTAGTGATTTAAGCGGTCGACACGCCACTCACTACTACTGAGTGTTGTGGGTCCGATCCCCACATGGAACGACACTTTGTGTGAACCACAAATTGTTGTTCTGAGTCTGGGTGTTCTTTGTGTGCGTTTCATGTATGTTTGTAAAGTCCCCCGAGACACGGGAGATATTCCTAATGCAGGAGAAGTCTTTTAAAAAAAAGAGGGCAAAGAAAGAATACCTATATACTTTTTATGTATGTATGTACTATGTAAATACATTCATATTATACATAGAAAACACCCAAAACTCCGAAACAAATATTTGCAAATCATACAAACATTTAGAAATTTAAAATAATGCGGACGTGCCACCTGAAAGAGTATATTTACGATTTGTTTACATTTAGTATATATATCTAAACCTTCGAACAGCTGTTCCGATTGTGTTCGTGAATTAATGGCGTTTTTATATTTGTTTTCATTTGCATATCTAACTTTTGAAGGCGAAACATCGAGGTAACGTGAATACGACATATATTAGGCACATATGTTATTGTATTACGTTTGCTAGAAGCCAAATAAGAAGTTAAACTGCTCGTGATGTCCTTTCCACACAAAAGGAGAATCCTCTTGTATATGGAAATTTTTGACGGGCCTATTTGTCTTTTAGTGATTCTGACTGCTGACCGTGGATAAATAATTGCCCTGACCTGAATATATAGTTAATCTTTAATACGTTTTTTAGCAGTCTGGTTATCATAGTACTACTATAGCTCTACCTAGTTTGGGATGAGATGGCCGTGTGTGAAGTATTCATATACTGGGTAAGTCGACATAAATACTTTAAGGAGTTGTAGTTGCCATTATTTCTGATAGAATTTACTATGAAATACCATATCACAAAAATAACCATTTTCAAGATATTGGCAATTGGCAATTGGCAAATCAACAGGAATAACGTGCTGTATATTGATGAATATACAGCACGTTATTCCTGTTGTCTAGTGCCAGGTGTTATTGTGTTGGACGGAAACTATCGACAAATTAGAGTACCGGCTCTGTTTCAAGGCGACGATCTGCTCTGGGTAGATCACGTGTCTGATTCCAAACTAGGCAGAGCCTGTACTATGGTAACCAGACTGCTGATAAACATACTTATATATTTCTAAATACAAACATATTATAGATAAGTTACACCCAGACATAGAACAAATGCTCTCCACACAATTACTTGTCCTGGGTGGGAATCGAACTATGTACACTTTCGTTTTTCTTTTTAAAGACAACGCCCGCATTAGGTACATACACAGGATATATACGCGGGGAACTTTACAAACATACATGAAACGGGCACAAAGAACAACAATTTGTGGATCACACAAAGTGTCGTGTGTGGGGTTTGAACCCACAACATTCGGCATAGCAGGAAGCAGCGTGGCGACCGCTTAAACCACTAAGGATATAGATTATTTCTTTGAAAAAAATATATATTTCTTTTGTGGTATAAGACTTTAATCGATATAATCCGTAGTAATGCAGTAGTTATGATAAGCCTTATTTATCTGATGAGAAGTTTGAGTTAGGATTCCTAGTGCCTTGATTCTTTGATGCAGCTGTTTTTGAGGTCATGAAAAATAAAAATTGCATATTACGTAGCCCGGAAAAAAAATCACCTTTCTTAGAACCAAAGGACTTTACATTTGAGGTTTTAATCTCGACAGAACGATTACACAAGCAAATAATTGCCATAAGCATAATCGATTTAATAATGTATTATCAAATAAATTTAGCTTATCTTGTAAAACAGCCGGCCAAAGAGTGCTTACAAAATATTTGTTTTTTTTTGTAATTCGCTTCGTTTCGCTTACAAAGTATCTCGTTAAATAAAAATACTCTGCCGTCCAAAGTACATTTAAATAAAAAGTTAGTCATTTATCTTAAAGAGAAACATTCAACTAACAGGCTACAACAGGTGTAAACAAAGGGAACTTATTCAACTCCGGCCCCCGCAGCCATGGTACGGTATATAACAAATGTATATTTTGACCTCAAAATGGGTCGGTATTGTGGTGTGAGGCTTCCGGCCTATCTGTTGCCTATTTGCGACTTCGTCTACTTCGACTAAAATCAAAACAATCACTTGTCTTGATTTTTGTCTACATTTTGCTGTAATATATTTTTATAATCTTTTATCGACTTTTTAATACAGTAAGGATGGACATAGCAGTTAAGAGAGTACTTTTTTAAATAATATTTTGACACATCTCACACACGGCCGTCCTAACTAGGTGGAACCTGTGCAACGATAACTAGACTGCTGATAAACATTCTAAATATTTCTAAATACATACAGGTTATAGATAAGTTACACAAAGACAGAACAAATGGTCGTGCTCATCACACAACAATTTGTCCTGGTATGCACTGCAACTCTTTCCCGTAGGTTTATTCGTGTGTATTTTATGGATATAGCATATCTCTGTGGATGCAAATGCGCCTGTTACTCTGAAAACCATAAATTATACAAGTAATAAACTGTTCAAATGCATGCGAAATGCAATCCTGAGTGTACATGTGTGCAGTTTACCAAATAAGCCAGATGTCAATTGGCTCTTAATTCATGTGGGGAATGTCTAGTCACAACCTGGAGTAATGATTTGTAAAAAATGTCAACTGCAAGCTAGTTTGAACTTTATTCCTGGTTGACAGTCGCTATATATTTGAGTGTCTTCAGTGACTGAGCCATCTGCACATAAGTATACTATTATCTTTTCTGTGCAGACAGTAAAAAAAACATTTCTAGTATCTCTATAATAATACTACTCTCTTTCAATCGTATCGTAGATGCACCAATGGAGAGCACAATGCGACTGGATCCGAACATCATAACAACGAGAGAGCCTCCAGCTTATTATTATTATGATGCAAAAGAAATAATTATCTCTATTGTGATATAAAGGTGCATGCTCCTTGATGCATATAAATGTGTATTTTCGTATCACGAATTCTACGTTAGCAATTTTGTGTAAGTAAAGGTGGCAAATATAGAAATTGTGTAATCCTCAAAACGCTCCAACTATTAAACTGTACTCATGATCATCTTTATGTCTCTTAATTTTATTTGAGGTCGGCGCAACTAGTCGCATTGGTTTCTTTTATGCTAACGATCATGGGTACTAAAAGGAACTTAGGGTAAATGATACCGCAATTTAGGATGGGGAAAAGGGGCTGAGACTGCAGTAGCGTGAAGATTATGTCCGTCCTGTGTTTGAAGTTAACGCTACTGACTGAGTACATGACCATTAAACTTTATCTACTTATTTAAATCAATTTATTTTAAATCAAAACATCAGTATTAGCTGTACGTCTGAGGTTACCAAAGCAGATTTCTTCACCTCGATCCCCAAAACCTATATTTATAATAGCAATGATTCAAAGTATTTTGGATAGTAAAATAAAGAACAAAGATACATAACATAAAACAGTGAATATAAAAAGGAACAATAAAAAGGGAAGAAATTAAGTTAGAAACCAACTACGCTAAGCTTCTTGTATGTTGGGAGACAGGGTGTGTGTCAGTAAATGTTCGTAAAATAATTAGATAAGATTATCTGTATAAAATAAATATGCGTAAAGATTTGTCATTCAGTTAATCAGTTCAGATACATTACTGATATTGGGTAATTTATATGCAGCTAAGGCATGCCAATGAGATGAAATCACCACTTGAGAAATCGCACGTACGTGCTGGTTTGAAATACAACAATATGTGTATAAAACGACAAATTTTTGAAAGCGTTTGTTATTTGTATAGAAAATAACTAATATGAACACGAAATTGTTTCAAATTACAGCTTTACCTAAATTGAAACACAGAGAGGACCGTCTTTCATTTTAATCAATTTAATACGGTATCCAATAATTACTTTAATAATCATCATCATCAACGGCCTTTAATAGTTCACTGCTGGACATAGGCCTCTCCTTAGAAAGGAGGTTTTGGCCTCCTATACTACGTTGGCCAGAGTTGGTATAGGGTTTGTGTCAAGTTTTCCTTCTCCTATTCTCTATTTAATAATTAATATAGAAATGAACGATTTCCACGATAATTATATACAAGTAGCTTAGTTTAGATACATATGCGCAAACACACGCACACATTCACACTAGTGCAAGTCACAGTTGTAGTTACACTATATTGTACACACGACACAATTACACACCCCATAATGTCTGCTTGATTGTAAATAATAAAGTTAGCTTGCTGTTTTGTAATTAAACAAATTTCTTTTCTATTTTTTTGTTGACATATCTATATAAACATGTAACAAGGTGAAGTCACTGGGTCCTATAATACAGTTTACACTAGTTTAGGAGTCCGTGTATTTTTATACTATATGTTTATGTACGTTTATGTCAATAATTATTTCATTTCAAAAAACAAAATATATTTATAT